CATGAGTAGTTTATTTAATCTATTTAATGTTTATTCAACATCGAGGCTCTCGAAAATTATATACAATTCATTTAATCTTTATTCAACACCTTAGTATCACATCCTCCCTAACTTATTTCTATTACATTCAGGTTATCGCATTATATTAATTATGTATATATATACTAGTAGTGTTAATTTGTATCCTATAAAATTATATCATCTATAAAATAATATTTCTGAATATATTTTATTAAAACATAGTTTTTAAAATTATTCAAATATATTTTATATTTATTTTAATCAAATATATATTAAATCATAATTCAGCTTAACAATCAAACAATATCTTATTAGTTAATTAACATTAAAATTGAATTTCAACTGCAAGTTCTAACTTGCAACCAAATCATATACTAGTATATTATAATATTTTATATTTAAATCCTATTTTGCTTATTTTAATTTCATATGAACATTAGCACTAACATAATAGAACTAAGTATTATTTACTCCCTCCGTCCCATATAATATGGGTGTATTACTGTAAACACAGAAATTTAGGTAAAGTATAATTAGTAAGTAATTAAGAAGTGTATTAGTAAAAATAATTATTATTTAGTAAAAATAATTATAGATTAAGATTAAAATAAGTAAATAGTTTAATTAAAATAAATAATATATATAATTTAAAATTTAAAATGCGATTAAAATGCATAATTATATTTACAAAAATAGAAATGACAAGTTATGTGGGACGGACGAAAATAGAAAATAGAGACAAATTATGTGGGACGGAGGGAGTATTATTTATTTACTAGTTATTCAAAACAAAAATCGGCAATATGAAAATTTTTAAACATAAGACGTTTGATAATGAAAATATTCAAAACAAGCTATTGTTGATGTAAATCTAAAAATTGAGATCAAACATGCTAATTTATTTGTTCCAATGTGTGTTTACTTGTGAAATTTTGATTTTGAATAGTAAAATTTTGAATTGAAATAATTATCTTATGTTACATAAATATTTATTGATGTGATTTTTTAAAAATAAAATCAAATTTTAGTGTAAAATAATTAATAAAAATTAAGTATTTTATTTGATTTTTTTTTTTGTGTAGGGATATTTTGAAACTGTGAAACTAGTATAAAATCTCACAAGCTAAGGAAACACACAAACTAAACACCAAAACTTTTTGTTATAAATAATCAAACAACAACGGCGGATTTTCTTCTTTTATTATTATTTTTTTTTTCTCAAACATTCATGTTTTTCTATTTTATTTTATTTTTTATTTTTTGTTACAGTTTTTTGTGGATTTGATCTAAAAATCTTTGTTTAAGTATAGATTTTCTTGAAATATTTTGAGAATATAAAAAACGACCGGTTGATATAATAGTTTGTATGAAAACTAAATATTTGAAATAATAATTATTTTAAAAAAATAATAAAAAAGAATACTATTGATAAGTAATACTCCCTCTATCCGCTTACGAAGTATACATATTTTTATTATGAATTGTCCAATTAAGAAGTAACTATTTCAAAAATATCTTTTTTTTTTTTTACAAATATTTCTACTTTACTATCACATATTCAAATCATTACTTTTACACAAAAGCAAAAACAAAATTATTTTATTCAAAAGTAAATGTATACTTTTGAAGTGGACCGATGAATTATCAAAACTTTAAAAAACTTGTATATAAATAATATGATTGCCAATATATGTTCTACAATAAATTTAAATTTTATGATGTCAATATTTTATTGTAATTATGTTCCTTCCGTCCCTCAAATTTATTTTCATTTTTACTTTTCATTCCGTCCGTTAAATTTACCTCATTATTATATTTGAAAAAGTCAAAAAGTCAATATTTAATTATTATTATTTATTCAACACTTATTTACAACAAATATCACTAATTTTATTAGATTCTCACTTCATTCTTTTTAATTATTAACTAACTTTTCAAAAATACCACTAACTATCATTTTACTTTTTTCACTTTCTCTATAAAATATTATATTCATCAAGATCTAAGGGTCATAATTTATTACATTTTCTCTTCATTCTTTTTAATTATTAACTAACTTTTCAAAAATATCTCTAACTATCATTTTACTTTTTCCACTTTCTTTATAAAATACTATTTTCGTCAAGCTCTAAGAGTCATTTTTTTTTTTTACATATTGATATTTAAACATTAATTATTATATTAAAACGTGATACAAATTAAGAAAAAAAAAACTAAAATACTTCTATTGGTGTATTATAATACTAATATAATTATATTTGTACAAAATATTATACAAATATAAGAATATTTTTAATGTTAAGTATAATGACGTTAAAGGTAAATGCAACCCTTAGAGACGGACATACGCAATATTTATTTTTTCTTAATTTCCGCGTCAACTTCAAATAGACTAATTTTTATGGACGGATAGAGTATTTTTTATGAACATGAAGATTAAAAACTATTTTTAGGATTCATACTATTTGACATAATAGTTGCTCAAGGGAAAATTATGATTTTTTCTATTATTTATTGTTGGAAAAAAAAAACTAGGGAAAAGAAAGCTGAAAAAAAAAAATTATACATACGAATTCGACACAGAATAATTGGGTTTGAGTCAACTATTTCGATCTGATTATATATACAGATCGATACGGACCCAATATGATAATAAATTAATCGGATTAGGGTTGAGATCTTCAATTGGAAACCAATACGACAACTCGTTTATAATATATGAATATTAATTAATATATTTATTATGTATGTAAAATAATTTTAATTTAATATTCCCTTTGTCCCATATCTATATATTCGTTTGTTATTTTCACAGAGTTTTTAAAATATTAGTATTATATTATGATGTAGTATGAATAAAGTAGAAATGACTAAAATAATTTTATTAATATTGTATTATATAAATGTAATGACATTTATGTAATATATTGTAAGTTGTAAGAGTATTTATAATGTTAGGTAGATAATACAGTTACTAAAAAAAATTGATATTTTTTTAGAGACGGACCAAAATGGGAAAATTGATAGTTTATTAAGGGACGTGAGGAGTAGTTTTTTTCAAAACACTATTACTTCAAATTGAATACAATTTATGTATAAATTGAACACAATCTAAATTTAAATAAATAGGTCGAATTCGAGTTAAAGAGTTTGATCCGTTTAAAAATTCGACTTGACCCGATACACCAAATTGTCAGCTCTATAATTAACGTATAAATAAAAATATACTCTCTCCGCCCCAATACAATAGTCTTGTTTTCCATTTTTGTCATTTCCAAAACAATAATCTTATTTCCATAAATAATCATATCACCATAAAAGTATCCATACTTTTTCATTTTTATTACAGAATTGCAACTACTTTTTACACTAATACATTCACAAAAGCAAAAAAGTCTTTTATCCATATTTTTTACCAACTATCAATATAATATCAATATTCCTTAAATCTCGTGCCCAACCCAATTAAGACTGTATTTATGGGACCGGAAGAGTATATAAATATGAATACATAATCAATACACAAATATAAGCCCACACACAATGACATATTTGTTTGATTACAGTGTTATATACAAATCATCATTATTCACATCACCCGATTTTTAATAAATGAAAATATATTTTTTTTTCACAAAATATCATATCAAAATATTATTTAAACAAAAATTCAAATGAACATTTTATTTCAAATTACAATCAAATAAACTTATAAATACACACAAATATACATAGACCATTTTAATTGGGGTGTTGATTGGGAATTTACGAGTACAATGTTGATTGTCTACTATAGATAGTATATGAAAATATATATAACAAACATCACATAGCGTATAAAGTATTAGTATGTATTGTTAATTTTATTTTATTTTTGTTTTCTAAATTTACATTTAATATACTCCATTATTTAGTATATATTATTTTGCTATTAGCCCGGTGTTGATTATATTTGCTTAGCACAGTAACTGTCGCCTACACCACACATACAATTGCACACATAATAAATACACGCATTAACACCTAACTACTTGAAATTATGATAATATATTAGTCCGACATAGAACCTAAACTAGAAAACTTACATATGGATCAAAATATTCCTATAGTCTCATACTACCATCTATTGATTTATTATAAAATGGAATTAAGAGAGTATTTAATTTATAATAGTACATGGATAATCTAAGTAAAAAATCATGTTTGTTTTTATATAAAATTGTATTTTTTATTTAAATAATATTTTATAATAAAAATAAATAATTTTATAAAAAATTATACAAACTTGATAATATTGATTCATATAATTTTAAAAAAAAAAATCAAATACACCCAAAAGCGCTTAAAGCGACAATTAAAAAAAAAAAATGAGTTCTTCAAGTAATAGTTCAATCTAGTGAAATAGATTCATGACCATCGGTTCAAATTCCAACAATTTTTAATTTTATCTTCATATATGATTTATTTAATGTGACTTGCATTACTTGATCTAGTTTGTAAACTATTAAGTTCGAATTGAAATTTACTCAAACGCACTCGGTCAGCAACTGTGAATTTCTCTTGATTCCATGTTATAAAATACTCCATTCGTTTACATACTAACGTCTTATTTTCTTATTTGGAATGTCCATTAATTATTGTCTTCTTTCTATTTTTATACATAAAATTTACTTTTTTATTTTTACTTTATTTATTCTTTCATTTTCTATACAAAAGATTAAGGACAAATTTATTATTTTATAACAAAAATCTTAATTAACTAAAAATACATATAAATATAAAATATGATATTAGAAAATGAACTGATTAAGTATATATATATAAATAAAAATAATATATTCGCTTCATAGATATTACAAATACATACAGTGACTGACAGTGTAAATGACACGACAACCGCACCTGTCGTTTTGCCCACGTCACCAATCATTATCACGTTATCACCCCGCAGCCGTTTCCTTCACTGAACAACTTCTACACTCTCATCTTCTTCTCTACTCTCTCCCATACTCACTTCATTACACTCAAAATCCCTTTCCCAATTTTGCCCCTAACTGACAAATTAAATATTATCAGTCACCATTCCCTAAATCCCAACCCCATATGATGAAACCATCCATCCTTTCTTCCAGAAGGTTCCTCCTCCAGGCGGCAGCGGCGGCGCAACCGCCGCCCGGCGACCCGACGTCGACGTTCAATCCGACGACGCCGTTCGATTCCTCCATGGCTCTAACGATTCTAGTCCTCCTCACCGCGCTCTTCTTCATGGGATTCTTCTCCGTCTACATCCGCCGCTTCACCGCCGCCGAGGAGGAGAATTCGCAATCCCCGCCGCGGCGGGCGGCGCCGCCGCCGCAGGAAAAGCGCGGCCTGGACCCGTGCGCCGTGGAGTCGCTTCCGGTGGCGGCCTACGGCGCGGCGACGAAGCACCCGATGATCGACGACTGCCCGATCTGCCTCGGCGAGTTCCGCGACGGAGATACGGTTAAGGCGATACCCTACTGCGGTCACGTGTTCCACCCTAAGTGCCTCGACACGTGGCTTTGGTCGCACGTGACCTGCCCGCTGTGTAGGTCGGCTCAGCTGTTCAGCGAGGAGGTCCGGCTGGATGTGAAGCCGAGCCGGGAGAGCGCAGGATCGACGGCTGGGGATAAGGACACGTGTAGGGCGGAGAGCTCTGGTGGCGTACGGAGGGTCTGTAGCTGCGCTGAGTTGGCTAATCGAACGGCTCTGCAGAGAACCACAAGTTTCTGACAATGTATGTATTTTAATACTCTCTTATCTGTTTGGAAAAAAAAAAAAAAATTTTAATTGTGTGTTTTATTATATAAAAATATGTGAAGTTACTCGTGTAGGAAATATAGCAATCAATTTGGGTTGGTGGATAAGATAATATAATTGTATGTATATTTATATATTTATATATATGTACATGCATGTAGATATAGAGATAGATGATCATTGGGTAATTAGTTGTCCCCAAATTAAAGTAATATATACAAAATGATGTGGCTGATACTACAGTATCTGCATATTTGCATGAGATCCACGTTGCCCTCTTAAATTCAAACAATAAAAGTTATGGAAAGCCGTGATTAATTTGATTTGCATGACAAGAAAAGCAAATTCAATTATTTACATTGATGTCGAAGCATGAAAAGGGTTTGTTCACTTTTTTACTAAATACTTATTTGATTTTAGATATTGAAACAAAAGAATATCAAAACAATAATAATAAATTAAAGCTAACAAACACAAAATGAAAGGTACAACATAATTATCACATTCATCATTAACCAAGCAACAAATTTTGTTTTTTTTTTTTTTTTCCAATATTTATATATAGATTTTTATTTCAATTCCAAAGAGAAAAAGCCATCACTAATACCCAATGGCCTTTTTGGATCAGATAAAATCAGTCAATCTGTGTATATTTAAGTAATAAATAACAAATCAGTATCCTCTCCTCTCCCTTCGTCACCAATAGATCAATTGGCCAATATATATATATAGTTATATAGTTATATAGTAAGAGACATGGCACATTCCCGGTAACACCTTTCAGTAAATTATATATATATATATATATATATCAGGAAGTCACTGCACAAAATAAGCTCTCACCACTTCAACCACAGGAGCTTCACACATTGGGCATTTCCCCTTCTCCCGGACAAGATTTTCTGCACATTTTGAACAGCTACACATGTGCCCACATCTGCACGGACAAATACAATCGTGTAACGAATTCGAGAGAAGATCGACGAGGATGACGACAAAAAACTGTAATGTAATGCAGATTGGGAGGAGGTTGTTTTGTTACCTGTAAAGAAGGGAATTGATTTTACTGTCCTGGCATAGACAGCAAATTCCTTTCCTCACATGATCCCATTGGGACTCACCGTCATGAACTTGCCGCTGCTGCTGCTGCCCAGCGTCTTGAGATATATATATTTGCATTCGATGAGAATTCAGAGATGAACACGAGAAACGCTTTTCGAATCCACTAGTTTGAATTGGAATGGATAATTCTGGTTTTTTTTTTTTTTTACCTGTTGCGAAAGTAGAGCGATTTAATGCAGCAGAAACCTCCTGACGCACGGCTCGTTGCAACTCTATTTGCATGTCCATGCACGCTTCGAGCATGCTTTGCATGTTGTCCATCCTCTGTTGAAGCCTCGCCATGTCGAGTCTCAGCTCATTGATTACCTCCCACTCCTGATGTGTAAGAAACAAACATTAGCTCGAACGACAGATGCTTTTCTGTTTTTGGATATTCCTGTCGGTGCAATAAAGGACATTACCGTTCCCAATTGCTGATTCGAGATGTGTCGTGGCCAACTTGCAGGCTGCAGCTCCGCGCCCCAGAGTATCTCAGACGTAAAATAGTTCGAAGATGGCGCGAATTGATTTCTTTCGGAGTTGTCAGTTGGAGGTAGATTTTGATCACCAGTGAGTTGCTCCTGATCTTGTTCCGGAGGTGAATTTTCCAGTTCCCAATCGTCAGAAGCATGACCTAGCCTTTCGACGTGCGACTGTAGCACCTGATTTAGGCTCTCGCGGAAGCCACTACCGAGGAGACTGGAGACACGTCTCCTGTAAAATTGACAATATAGATTATCGATGATTTTACCATGAATGTCTCTACGTTGAAATATTATGTCTATTTAGAATAACATACCGGCTAAAAAGCTCCCTCAGTTCCATCGAGTGGGCGTTGTCGTCATCAGGGAAATAATAAGTAGGATCAGTTCTTCCAAACGATTCGCTTTCTGCTCTCGTAGGGGTATCATCTAGCCAATTGTCGATAGCTTCCTCAAAATCTTGGCTTGGCCAGTCTCCATGTGATTCTTGCACCTGATCTTGGTGCTCCTCGCCATTGTTTTGAGATGTTCCGGGAGACCATTGATTGCTCGTGCTTTCCCCCAAACTACCGACTGCCACTTCTGTGGGGTTAACCAGTTCGGTAGATGCAACTGTATCTACTTGTTGCCGGGAACTGTCTGGAGTCTCGATTCCAGGCTCTTGGAACTCTTCTAACGGTGATATTGGATCGTGCAGATCATCAGCTTCTTCATTGACATTTCTTTCTGAACGACCATGGCCATTAGAATGTATTCCCTCAGACTCTGTCGAAGTTTCATTAGAAACGGCATTGATCAGTTCATCTCTGTTACTATTAGCATCAGCAGTGAATACTTCTTGTTGCATAGCTGAAGCAGGTTCTTCGACACAACTGGCACTTCCATTGTTCGATCTTTCTTGCTCTCTTCCGTCGTTGTCGAAGCCATGATCCTCTGTCTCAGTTGCCTGTTCATGAGGGCTTGTGATTACATCTGAAACAGTTTGTAAATTCAATAGTCTTGCGACTTCCCTTCGGGTTCTCGGAGAGTCTGATTCCTCATTATTGTCACCAATGGAGGAGCAATCACATTTAGCAGTGTTGGCTGAAGCCGAGGCAGAATTTTCCAACTTGGACAGAAATTCTTCCCTGTACAGCCCATTATCAAGATTCCATTAGCTTTATAAGAACAATGACAGCTTCAATCAACCAAGCAAAATGCATCAGATTGATCTTATAAAAGACTTGCCAGCAAACAATTCCAAACAAGAACATGTTCTGAGTACTAAATTTATTTGAATATTAAATAAATATAATATTGCTGTTCAAAGCCATCTCTAAAATTATTGATCCTGTGGAGGCATTGGAAATGTAAATAAATCTTGAAAACATTGTGACTTCCAGGGTTTGAAGAATGTAATATAAGAAAATAGATTGAGTTATGGGAAGGAAAAGATTACCTAAGATCTGAAACCGTATGTCTTTGCCTCAGCAAACTCAATTCAGTGGCAGCGTGTGATGATGTTCTCTCATGAATTACTGAACTTTGGTCCCGTAGGAATCGACCTCTGAGTAGGGCCTGCAAAGTTGGTTAAACTTAATCCAAGTGAAATACAGTTCTTGTTTATGATATACAAAACCTCCAAACTTAAACCAGGAATACTATGAGCAAACACAACAATCACAAAGTTCAATGTCTACATAGGTCCATCACGAAAAATGACCTATTTGCAACATATATGCTCTTCATTTAACATATGATGATGAAAGGAACATTAAAACATGTAAAAACAATAAAGGAATTACCAAGTACCAAACATGAAGAAGAATGTAACCTGAATTCGATTACGATGAGCAAAATCAGAAACTGGCCTCCGCCCAGACAAGGCTACAAGTTCATTTTTTCTTTCACTCTGAGCCCTAAGAAGAAGATCAAGCAGTGTTTGTCTACCACACAGCCTTCGAATGTGCTTTCGCTGGCCAATCTCAGAATGACTGATAGCTAACCCATCGCGCACCTGCTCGAGCTGAGAGCCAGATTGAGCAACTCCATCTCTTACTGATCCACAATTGTTTCGTTGCTGTGCATTTGCTTGCACCCATTCCCTGATAATTCTCACTCTTTGACACTCAGTCTCACCAAGCCATTGACCCGAACAGTTGTTAAGATTTAACTCATACGATGGAGGCCCTTTCGAACCACTATTCATCCATTCTCGAAAAATTTGCCTCACTCTTTCCCTTTCAATCTCCCCCAAATCACTAGATTGTTCAGATGCAATACTACCATTTTCCCCTGGATCCATCTCTGATCCAGTAAAACCTTGATTCTCTGATTCATCAGAATGCTGAGAAATATCATCTCCATTATCACTTCCTCTTTCAAAAGATGTGGAAGTGCTCAAACACTCAGAATCTGAACCATTTCTAGGCTGCCTTGATCTATAAGATTGATTCACCGCATGTTCACCCTCAATTTCTCGCCATATTTGCAAGAGCGTGGATGCCCGGGTGCTCGGCTGTTCCCGTCGGCCCTCCCCAAAAAATGAAGGGCCAAATGCAGATACATTGTGCAGCCCAGCAATAGCCATTTCCAAAATTGTGGACACAGGACACTAAATCACAGTCAAGTAAAATTTATACAAAAAAACTTGTCATTAATCTAGAGAAAGAATCATATGACACCATCAACTCCATAAATCATTCTCGATCATTCCAACGCCCAATTCAAATTCAATCCTCAAATAAACCAGCGCCTGCAAAGAGATCTAAATATTCAGCATTTATGCTATTGTAATCGCCTATAAAGATCTGATATATTGGCTATAAATGGTAGATTTAGAAAATCTAAATAATGAATTCATCAAATATATTTAGAATCCATCATAATCATCCGCTAAGTAGTTCAAAGGAAAATAGAATCATTCAAAGAAGTGCAACAGATATACCATAAATTTTTAAACACAACTTCAAATATCTCAGTTTCATATACCCCAAATATTACAAAACTAAATAACTAAGGTAAGAAAAAAGTAAAAGGGAGATGACTTGTAGATCCATCTTGTCCATAGCCAACGACAACTCACCAAAAGGTTTCAGAGCAAAAGAAAAGCATTCTGCCGAACCAAATCTGATTTGGTAACAACAACTAAAATCAAGAACAAATCCAACTCGATTTGAATTTTATCAACATAAATAAAAAATTAAAAAAAAAAAAAAAAAAAAGCATAATCATCAAACACAACATCATCCCAAAATCTTCTTCACCTCATAAAACACCAAATCACAGACTATTTACATTCACATAAAAAAATCAAAACAAAACACAAACTAACAAAGCATCAGCTAAAACACACACACCACAAAGAATCAGAAAACGAAACCGCACCTCTTTGCAACCACTCTGCACGACAATTCTTCACCAAACGCAACACTACACTGCAATCAACAAGAACGAGAAAGCGCGACTATAAGCATCAATTACACGGAAAATTCCAGTAAGATCGGTAAAAGAAACTCCATAAATTAGGGATTTGGTACGCAATAAATAGAAACAGCTAAAAATTAGGGGAGAGGGGACACATTCGCGGCGCCATTTAATTTATTCACTTGGCAATCGCCTATATGTTTGCCGTAACTCTAACGTCTATATTTTTTCTTTACGGTTTAGAATAAATAAATAAATAAAATTCAAAAAATAAAAAAAAAACGCTTGTTCTTGCCAAGTAATTAATGCTATTGGCTGCCGTGTGTACTGCGAACAGTGCTTTATTGTCATGTGTGAAATGACGACGTTACCCTTCGTAGCTTTAATGTAACGGTAAGCAATAATAATATTAAATATTTAAATAGATATTATTAGTATTTTGTTTTGGGACAGTTCATATTTGATATTGAGGTATTACTGGCTGATATGGATGGGTGCGGATTGCTCGTTGCGAGCTCCTGGACTGTGTACTCCTGATCTTTTAGAAATTGTCTTTCAATTGGATTTTGGTTAAGGTGAATATTTTTATTATTATTTTGATATTTTTTATTTATATTATGAGTAGAATAGGATATTGTAAAAATATATATTTATTAAAAATGGTAAGAATTATATCATAAATATATTGAAAAAATAGACTCATTTTGATCAATTTTTCAATTTAATTACTATGTGGTGTTACATTCCACAAGAAAAATACATAATTTTTTTACAAAATATTAAATTAAATTAAGTATTAGGAAAACATTATTTGGAATAGAAGTTTGAGTTTGATATTTTGTTAGAAATTACAATATTTCATTTATTTCAAGTATCAACAATGTTGTTTGTACATTTCACATTTTATGCTATTTTTTGAAAATATATATATATATATATGTTTTTCAATCATTTTTTAATTTTTTAATTTAATTAGATAAGTTAATTGTATAATTTTAATTTATAATAAATTGTATTATATAATTAGTTAGCACAATAATAGAAGTCTTGCACTACCATCTCAAATTAATGAAGTATGATATATTGTACTATACAAATCAAATATTGGTAAATTAGATTAATTTTATGATAGCAATGTCAGCAATTTTTTATTTTTTTAACATAGCATAGCATTTTAAAATTTATAAAAAATGGCATTTAGTAAAATATGAATTGTGTTTATTTAATTTATAATTTTAAGTATATTTATTATGGAATGTGAAGATTGTAAATATATTATAAAGAATGAGCTCATGTGTATTTTATTAATTTTTATTATTATGAATATATATTATATGTTTTAATGTATACTCTAAATAATATTTTTGAAAAACTATGTAGGATTTTATTGCTAAACAAACACACTTTTCATTATATTTAAGTATTATGGTAAACATATTATAAATGAATATGAACCCCTAATATATAAATAATTTAAATTTTATAACATTCAATTTAATTAATTGTAATTATCTAACATCTTGTATAAAATCATACAAAGTATTTCAATCTATTACAAAACATCTCAGCATATTTTTTCATTGAATAGTGTTCATCAATTTTTGTTAAAAATAATCATCTTCTTTATCATAATATATTATACTACCAAACTTATTACCCCAAAAAAAAAAAAAAAAAAAAAAAAACATAAACAATTAAATAGGCGTCAATATTGAACTTATCTTAAAAATCAAATTCGTTCAATTTAAAAATTTTCAAGTTTTGATTTAAGTGTTTTGTATTTTAAAAAATATTGGGTCAATTTCAACTAAAAAAAAAAGAGGTTGGATAATATTGAATTTTGAATTGACCTGATAATCTGAAATATAGAAATCTGATCACGGATAACCTGAAGCCCAACCCTCACCTGATTTAAACTTGATTTTATAATTAAAATTATTTTTATTGATTTCAAATTATAATAAATTACAAAACAAAATAATAGTACTAAAAAATTAAAATTATAAAAATAAATAAATGATATGCTAATTATAAATATATATATATATATATATAAAAACCAAGTTTCCGAATTTGTTTTAGGTTTTTGCATCTATTCATGTCAGGTTCTTCAAGTTGGTTTAAGTTATCTGGTGATTGAATCCTTATACAAAAAAATTTGTATCGTGTTCGAATTTAAAATTTAAGGTTAAAAATTGGATTCAAATCGAAACACCCACAATTCAACCTAATAATCCGAAAACAAAACTTAACACCCCTACAAATGAACACCCTAAGATTGTTTTTTTAGGTTTGTTTAAGTCGTTTTACTATCCAACATTAATATTTTTTTTATAAGATATACATATATATATATACTTTATAAAGTATTATATCAAAACTAATGATAAAAAACAATACTTCCTCTGTCATGCAAATGTGTGCTCATTTGACCGAACACAAGTTTTAATAAAAGTGAGTAATAATTGTTACTTTTTTTTTATAGTAAAAAAATATACAAAAATATACTCTCTCCGTCCGCTTTGAAAGTTTACATTTACTTTTGGTGCGGTGTTTAAGAAATAATAGTATTTTAATTATAGTGAATAGTTAAAAGTAGTAATGACATTTTTGCCCTTACTTTTTTGTGTAAAAGTAATGATGTGATGTAAAGTAAAGGTATTTTTTGAAAAAAATAGGGTATTTAATGAAACGTTAACTTTGTAATTGGACGTTCCAAAATAGAAATACGTAAACATTGTAAGTGGACGGAGGGAGTAATAATTTTTTATTTAAAAAAGTAATGAAAATATTTTTCATTGACAAGATAAAAAGGATAGTGAGTATAAATTTGAATGAAAAATGGAGTAATAATAATCAAACAAGAAGCCCTTAAATTACCATTAATGCATACCAACCATCATATCTTCAACCAATGACTAAAAATGGTCTTTTGCTAACATGACGGCCGAAGTTGGTGATTGTAAAATAAATTAATTAAAATTTAAATATTTTAAGGTAGGCAATTAAGGCATAAATCAGCTTAATGTTAGGTCAATATTTAATATAGTAATTATATAGGAAAGTTATTTATATTCCGGTTTAAAATTTTAAAATATTTTCCACTACAGCTGCAAATCAACTTATCATAAAAGTTATGCTCCATTTGTACATGTGTTTTTTAAGTTTTGGAAATTATTAAAAATAATTTAAAATTAACTCAGTTTACACATATTTTTAAAATTTTGATGATATTCATCAATAATAATTTATTTAAAAAATATTATATTAATTTTTTTTTTTTTCCTCACAAAACAACTTCGTAATACATTACTTAATTTTTTATTAGTTTAAAAATCAAAATTTGAACACATTCCGTTCTATATTTAGTTTATTTGGGTTTGCCACAAAAATTAAAAATTTAATATTGTATTGAAAAATAATAATAATAATAATAATAATAATAATAATAATAATAATAATGATGATAAAAGAAATAGTTGAAAGTATTATAAAAATTTAGTTGGTAATTAAAGATAATAAAGTAAAATAATGTATAAATTTGATGATATTTACCGTAGATAAGTATTAATGGAGGATAATAGTTAAATATTGATTTTAAAATTTTTAATTTTTTTAATTTTTTTATGATATTGAAATCGTCAACCGCTACTATTCGAGTGCGCTTTGGATAAAATCCTGAACAAACCTAATAGCTCGTAAACTAGGCTATATAAAATAAGTTACACTATGCGAACCAAATGTAACAAACAAAAACTTAAATCTACAGGCATCGTCCTTTTGAACTCGTTTAATTTTTTTAACTTTTTAAAATATAGTATAGAGGTAATCTAACATATGGACAAAAAAATATAAATAAATTTGACTGACGGTAGAATATTTAAATAGAGATATATATGATACTTTACGAGGGGAAATAGGGTGTGTTTGGTTTATATCAAACTCAAATTAATAATATTGTTCGCATAATTTTTAGTACCTTATAAATAGATATATATTAATAAAAATAATTATCGTATAATACAAATAATTATATATACTAACATTATAATAACTAATTAATTTAATTTATATTAAGAAAATTATAAACAGGGTGAAATGAAAAGTACCAACAACCTATCTAAAATGGAAGAAGTATTTGATAATATTAAAAAATTATTATTATTGATAAATATTATCAATTTTTTTTTTGAAATATGCATAATAGTATCTTTTATTTTATCATAACTAATTAAATAGTATTCCATTCATCTATTAGATTTATGGTTATTTTATTTTTTTATTAAATAAATATTTATAACAAACAATTTTATATATTCTTAAATATATATATAATTATTATACTTATTTAAAAAAAAAAAAGAAATTACTACTACTTACACCGTCAATATATCAAAATTTTTATATCATGTTATTAACTAATACGTATACTTTTCAAAATACTTATAATCACAGTCAATATAATATTTTATTTGTCCATGAGTAAGTTTTTCATTTAATTTTTGCATACAAATTGAGATAAATTAATTTTATATACTCCCACATCTCATAACAAAGTATTCATTTTTTCTTTTTAGTCCGTTTCATAACAAAGTATCTATTTGTTTTTAATAATTGTGCTCTCTATCTAACATTACAAATATCCTTACAACTTACAACATACAATATATTACACAAATGTCATTACTTTTATATCATACATACTAATAAGGTTATTTTAATCATTTCTACTTTATTCCTACTATATCCAAATATAATACTAATATTTTCGAAAATAAATGAATATTTAATTATGGGATGGAGAAAGTATATAATATACTAATAAAATAATTTAATATCTATTTTATTTTTGACATTAAAATAAAAGTAATATAAAAAATTAAAATAATGAGTATTTTAATATTTAGTTAATAATTTCTTTTTTAAAAAAATTAAAAGTTTTATTAAAATTTTTAGACGAGGAAAGTACTATTCTATTTATTAAAACTGGTATTTAATTCAAATAAATATACAAATTAAATTAAATATATTTTTTTATTGTTTATGGAGTATTAAAAATTAAATTTATATTTCAATATGTTATATTAAAAATAAATAAATATTTAATCCAAAGTTTTACTACTTAAAAATTAAATCCAAAATCTAAACTCGAATAAAAATACTCCCAAATAAAGTCGTAGGCGGTGATGATGAGAAGAGCCAAAGACCGAGGAGACGTGCAGGCATCA